TCCTATGCCTTCAACAAAAGGAAACTTCTAGAATTAGTTTTAATCCAGAAGAGGACAACATCCATGTCAATTTTGCAACCTGTTGGAGAGACTCAATTATAGAATCCCTAAAGCTAGCTACCAGATCAGACAGTATTTCTCACTTGCAGCTCTCATAAGGATAAACACATGACCTGCTCCCCACCAGGGAAGAACCTCACTCCTCAGCCATTATTTTAGTTGCGACAAGGTCTCTGCTTTGAGCCCCTGAATTCCTTCTTGGTGTTCTTCTGACTTGTTTCTTGAATGTTTGTGGAGGATGCTAAATTTCAAGAAAGAGAGGGTAATGCAGAAAGCGCCTGGAGAGAAACGTGTTTTGTTTGCGATTTCTAAAAAGTCTACCATTTACAAAAGTGGGTGATGGGTGTTTAGTCTCTTTTAAGAGGTTGGCAGGTTTACACCTTAAAAAAGACGGCAGAGAGGAATCCACACCTTAACACATACACTAGACCTCAAATTGCACTATGAAGTGAAACAGTGTGTTAATAATTATGCCAATAAATATGCTGGTGTTTTTAAATGGTGTTTAGGGTGAAGCGCCCCGCCCCCCCAGCCTCGGGCTCCCTCTCCCTCACTGTCCCCATCAGTGCCAGTGCACAGTGACCCCTTTGTTCTCCCATCAGAGGGAAACTAGCACAATAAAAGCCTTGTTTCTGATAAGAGTATCTGTCACTGACATAGAAGAAGCAATGTGTTTTTTATTGAGTCGACCCCCTTAATGAGCAATACACAAAAGATCGTTAATTATAAGCCATCCTCTGTCCCAAGCCCATGTGTACATTTGCATTTCCAAAAGCCCCACTCGGCCCTTTTGAAAAGGTTTGCCTTGGTTTTTGCCAGGCTGGTTAGGAAATGGCTGCACCGGAAGATGCTGCCAACGTCAACACTAAGTGCACAAGACATATATGCAAATGGCAGATGCAAATGGTTCAGCCTCCTAGGCAGGCACCTGCTGTGCAGGGGAGGATGTTCAGAGGTAACATCGGTGCCATCCTGGGCTCTCGCCCCTGGAAAAACCAATGTCAACTGGGCAGAGAAGTGAATTTCCTCCTTTCTCTGCATTTGCGTCACAGCACGCACACCAGCAAACAGAAATTACCTGGGTTCTGGGACCATGGACAAATGAAAAGGAAAAGGAATTGGCAGGCTTGGCAGAGCTCTGTTCTCCCTGGGAAATATGGATTAACTTGCCGAACTAAACAACTTATTGAAGCTGCTTCTTCGGAAGTGCTTTTTGGGCTCAACACACTGGGTCAAGCCTTATGCTTATACTTTACACGACCCAAGGTCTTAGAAGACCATTTGTGTTAGAGGAACAATGTGGGCAGGCCTGTTATCCAGCATGCAGGGGGTGTCAGAATATTCTAAAAGGCTAGAGGACACACTGAACAGGAATCCTAACCACACTAATGATTTGGGAAAGGGTGGGGATTGAAGCAGGTGGAAAGGGATCCCACTGGGTGAGCATCTTACTAGCCTAAAAAAGTGAATGGATGAATCGTAGGTCATCAGGGAAATACGAGGGAAAAATAACACTGAGCCACCACTGCGCGTCTATCAGGGCGGTCAGAATCCAGAACACTGACACCGCCAAACATTGGCAAGGATGTAGAGCAACAAGAATTCTCATTCATTGTTCATGGAAATGCGAAGTGAAGACCATTTGGCAGTTTCCTGCAAAACTAAACATACTCTTACCATACGATCCAGCAGTTGTGTTCCTTGGTATTTACCCAAAGGAGGTGAAAACTTATGTCCACATAAAATCCTGCACGTGGATGTTTCTAACAGCTTTATTCGTAATTGCCACAACTTGGAAGCAACCAAGATGCCCTTCGCTAGGTGGATGGATCAACAGTGGGGCATCTAGACATGGAACACTCTACAACCCTACAAAGAAATGAGCTATCGATCCATAAAAATGCATGGAGTAACCTTAAATGCAAATTACTGCGTGAAAAAAGTCAACCTGAAAAGGCCCCATACCATATGATTCCAACTAAATGGCATTGTGGAAAAGGCAATGGAGTCGGTGAAAAGATGAGTGGCAATCGGAGGTTTGGGCGGGAGCAGGGGGAGGGATGAATCATTGTAGTGCAGAGGATTTTTAGGGCAGTGAAAATGCTCCATGTGATACCATAATGATGGATACATGTCATTGCACATTTGTCCAAACCCACAGAATGCACAACACCAATGTAAACAATGGACTTTGGGTGATTATGATGTGTTGATGTAGGTTCATCAGTTGCAGCAAATGTATCATTCTGGTGGGGCTCTGCATGTGTGGGGCCAGGGTGGGGTACATGGGAAATCTCGGTACCTTCCTCTCGATTTGCTGTGAACCTAAAAGTGCTTTAAAAAATTAAGACTTTAGGGGCGCCTGGGTGGCACAGTCGGTTAAGCGTCCGACTTCAGCCAGGTCACGATCTCGCGGTCCGGGAGTTCGAGCCCCGCATCGGGCTCTGGGCTGATGGCTCAGAGCCTGGAGCCTGTTTCCGATTCTGTGTCTCCCTCTCTCTCTGCCCCTCCCCCGTTCATGCTCTGTCTCTCTCTGTCGCAAAAATAAATAAACGTTGAAAAAAAAAATTAAAAAAAAAACACACAAAAAAAACCAAACAGCTTCATGCAAACCATTGTTTATAATTCTCATGATCCCAAGATGTTGCATGTACATCAAATTTGGCTACATTAAATTTTTCCTCCAATGATTTACAATCTCTTTCAGCTCTGAAGTTAACGATTCAGGTATGTGCTCTCTAAGGCGCTTGATGTTTTTTGTACATCCTTTTTAAGTCTAATTTCCCTCAACATTCTGTCTTTCCCTTTTATTCTTCTGCCAAATATTTAGTCAGTAAGTATTACGGGTCAGGCACAGTTCTTAGCATTGACTTCATGTTTATTTGCCATTGTGTCCTTTTATTTACAGTCAGTGAAGATTTAGGATGACACTGTAATAGCACACACAAAAGACAGTAAAAGCCACAGTGCTGACTGTTGAAATGGACAGGATACAAAGAGATGTAGCATTTGATAAGATGGCAGGATAATGGGACAGATGGAGAAACTGATGATCCTTCTCAGTGAGGACAGGTGTATCTGGGAATACTAAGCCAGCTTATCCTTGTGTTTTCCTGACCTCTTTTTTTTTCTCCCACTTGTACCCCAGGGATTTTTCTGTCCTCTAGCCTATACCACAGGAGGAAAAAACTAATTCTTCAAAGAAGCAATTTCCTTTCCAAAATGTCTAATGCATCATTCAATTACATCTGAGGTTCTCAGCTAATGAGCCAAAACATTTGCAGTTTTTCTACACAAGCAAGAAAACACAGAGTCAAAAAGAAGTGAAATTGATTTAGAAGACTAGCCCTTTCACCTAAAGGAAAAGTAATGCTTCCCAGAGCGATACGTAATTGAACCGACTGCAATAGCATGGGTTAAGCCATCTTCTTAAAATGACTACAAACTCATAAAGCAACTAGTGATGCTTTGTTTTTGGGTTTTTTTTTTTTAAGTTTTTTTAATGTTTATTTATTTTCTTTGAGAGAGGGAGAGAGACAGAGTGTAAGCAGGGGAGGAGCAGAGAGAGAGGGAGACACAGAATCCAAGGCCCTGAGCTGTCAGCACAGAGCCTGATGTGGGGCTCGAACCCACAAACTGTGAGATCATGACCTGAGCTGAAGTCAGGTGCTTAACCGACTGAGCCGCCCAGGCGCCCCTAAATGGTGATGCTTTGTAGGAAATGAAAGTGATGAAATCTTCTGTGTAACAGCTCCTTTTTTTTAAGTTTATTTATGTATTTAAATCATCTCTACACCCACCGTGGGTTCGAACTTAGGACCCCGAGAAGAAAGAGTCGCATCCTCTTCTGACTGAGCCAGCCAAGTGCCCCTAACAACTCACTCTTAATGTCATCCTTTTGTCCCTTAACTTTTAAAAACTCTATAGTATGCACTGCAATTATCAATAAAATATGACTCCCATTTATGAATGGCCCTCAGCATAAAGTGAATGTGCACCGACCTGTCCTGCACAGCCCATTATAACTGCTGATGGTGTCCCTAGCCAGAATGGTGAGTTAATGTCAGGGCTATGACTACGAGTCCAAGTGCAAATCCCTCTCTGATTCACTTTTCTCTGTTCCTTAATGAGAATAACACCCCAATACAGACGTAAACCTCCCCCAAGTTCTGATCACTCCACTTGTATTATTTAGGAGGTAAACTCCAAGTCTCCTAAAACTTCAAAACTCTGGCAGTTTTGACCAACACCTGCTTGAGAAGAGCACTTGTTTGCCCACTAAGATGCGAGCAAAGAGCAGACAGTTCTGCTGTGGCCCCAGCAAGGTGCATGGCATGCTGTAAGTGCTCAATTAATGACGGTTGACACGAAGGAGGAGATTGGCTGTCCTCCCAAGAAAACAATATTATGTTCTTTGCATCTGATGAGATCACTTAACTCTTCGCGTTTCACCTCAGGCAAATGTTCCCTGTATTCCCTACGGGTCTGCCAAGAATGTAGGAGGAAAATCACAGCTGGAAATTCAGAAAATAACCTGCCCTGAAAGAAGATGAGGCTCACAAAAACGCATGCAGCTCTACGGGGTCTTAATGACCCCTGGTAAGCCAGGAGGCACCGTAGCATTCTGGATAACTGAGATGTGTCAAGAAATCTCAGATTCGAATATAACAGAACACACACCAAAAAAGTGAAGGTAATTGGGACTATTTGCTTTGAGCAAATCGCTGAGGGCGAGTACCTAAACCTCACTAAATCTCAGGTTCCTTACCTATAAAATGAAAATAACACAGCTGCCTCCTGAGGTTGTTGGCACAATTATGTGAGATCCTGTGCTAACATATATTCAATAAATGTAAGCTATTAACCATAATGACTTGGTGAAGTGAGATAATCCAAGAAACAAGTGAGCTCACCAAGGAATTGATTCAGATTGGACGTGATGAAGGCACCAAACATCAGAGGCTTTCTTCCTCAGCTTGCCACCGCGCCTTCCCCCGCCCCACCGCCAAGGCAGAGATTTTTAACCTCGGACCTAAAGACCCTTCAAACTCTCTGAAATTGAATGCGGGATGTTGTGCGTATGTGCATTCTTCTACAAAGAGTCCAAAGAATTCACTAAGATTCTCAAAGCCGTCTGGCACCTCCCCCAAATTCAGAGTCGCTGCCATAGAATTATAGCAAACTCTTACGTCGAGTCTTGTTTTCCAGTCTAAATGGACACAAAACTCTCTTCTTCCTCTTTTGGTTCAGCCAATCCATGGTACACTTTTCAAAAGAATTTTACGACGAATCTAAGGAGAAATTAGAAACGGAAATAAAAGCCATACAAAAAGACCAAAAATGTTTGGAAAGGTGAGCATCAAAGCACATAGCACAGGTCCCAATTCTGAGACCCCAGGACAGCCACACACGGGCTGGGCCCGCACGCAGGTGTGTGGACCCACATGCCTTCCTTCGTGGCTCCTCTCTTTTGTCCCTTAGGTTAACTGCTTTCTTTCATTTAAAAGTGGAATTCTTTTAGACAATTTGCCATCTGCTTGGATTTCTTCGTATGGATACAGACCATCGCTTCTCTCTTAAAATAACGTAAAGGAGAGTTTACTGGGGCTCCTGGGTGGCTCAGTCGATTAAACGTCCAACTCTTGATATCAGCTCAGGTCATGATATCACAGTTGTGTGAGCTCAAGCCCCTCATCGGGCTCAGTGCACGGGCTGCTTGGGATTCTCTCTCTCCTCTCTCTCTGCCCCTCCCCAACTAGCTCACGCGCTCTCTCTCTCTCAAAATAATAAATATTAAAAAAAAAAAAAAAAAGAAGGGGCCCCTGGGTGGCCTCTGACTTCAGCTCAGGTCATAGTCTCGCAGTTCTTAGGTTTGAGCCCTGCGTCGGGCTCTCTGCTGTCAGCACAGAGACTCCTTAGGATCCTCTGTCTCCCTCTGTCTCTGCCCCTCCTATGCGCGTGCTCTTTCTCTCTCTTTCAAAAATAAACATTAAAATATTTTTTTTAAAAAAAGGAGAGTTTACTAATAACCAAAATGGCTGAAAATTATTCAATCTCTTGATGCCTGGGCGACTCGGGAGAGAGGCAGAGGAGATTAGAGAGAAAGAGAATATGGGGTGAACCAGAAAAGAAAAAAAATTGTTAGAGCCCTATACTGTCAACAAAAGGATTTGCTTATTAGCACGTACCCACTACCAGTAATTAGGTCCTTAATGTCAGTGAGTTTCAGAGACTTTCCTGAATAATAGATTCCTTTTCAGAACGAGGGATCAGAGGTAGGTAAGGAATACAATGATGTTAGATCTATTAGAATCCTCGAATATGCTCTCCTTCTCCCCTCTATTATTTTTTTTTTAATTTTTTTTTCAACGTTTATTTATTTTTGGGACAGAGAGAGACAGAGCATGAACGGGGGAGGGGCAGAGAGAGAGGGAGACACAGAATCGGAAACAGGCTCCAGGCTCTGAGCCATCAGCCCAGAGCCCGACGCGGGGCTCGAACTCACGGACCGTGAGATCGTGACCTGGCTGAAGTCGGACGCTTAACCGACTGCGCCACCCAGGCGCCCCTCCCCTCTATTATTAAGTCTGAATGGGTGAGGGCCTTCCAGAAAGGAAAGGGCAGGAAAGAAATCATGAAGAATAGAGGAGTTTCTGGAAATTATTCATATCTAATTCACAAACACTGGTTGAGCTTTTATTGAATGCCACTCTCTGGACGAGACTCTAAAGAGGAGGAAAATGAATAAAACCGAGTTCATGTTTTTAAGAAGCTCTTAATCTAAGGAAAGGTATAAATGATAAATATGATTTAAAATGATAAGCATGTTCATTCTGTGACAGGGAGCCGGAAGGGAAATAAGTTTCTTTAAAAAAAAATTTTTTTTAACATGTATTCACTTTTGAGAGACAGAGAGAGACAGAGCACAAGCGGGGGAGGGGCAGACAGAGAGGGAGACGCAGGATGAGAAGCAGGCTCCAGGCTCTGAGCTGTCAGCACAGAGCCGGATACGGGGGTTGAACTCACGAGCTGTGAGATCATGACCCGAGCCGAAGTCGGACGCCTAACCGACTGAGCCACCCAGGCGCCCCAGAAGAGAAATAAATTTCAAGAAAACACATCCCACTCTGAAGATCAGATTGTCCTGCTTTAAAATTATCTCTGGGATCTGCCCTTTCCTGTCTACAACCACCTCCTGTTCTTCCTAGACTCAAAAGTCAAAGTTGACATGAAAATTTTCCTGGGATCACAGCATTTCATGGTAAAGTCCAGGGATAGTCCCTCCTGAGCATTTTGGCTATAGAGACAGTAATATCTTTCCACTTCCAAGGCAATGAAAAAGAAGAGTTGTTCTTTTTTTTTCCACAGACAGTCCTTGGAATTGTAATCTTTCCCCCTTGCTTCCAGAATGCCTTTTTCTGTAAAAGTCACCAATTTGCAACACAGAAACTATTTTGCCAGAGTGTAAAGAAATTTCAGGGTGTGAGCTCCATTGAGGTAGACAAAATATGGGCATGCAGTCTGGTTCCTTAGACCAACTTGACACCAACTGATCCATTAGTAACTGGATGACTCCTAAGTTCTACTTCCTAGCCCTACATTTGTTCCCCAGGAAGCCAAACCCTTTTTGTGTAGACCCATCCAATCTTAAACCAAAACCATTCTCTTCACCATCACAGGAACCTCTCACAGCAAGTCATTGGGAGATAGAAACCTTGAGTGCCAACAGGTGTGGGCAAGGGAAAGAGAATAAGATAGGCCAACCCTGGGGGGCGCCGGGGTGGCTCAGTCGGTTGAGCTTCCGACGTTGGCTCAGGTCATGATCTCACAGTTCGTGAGTTCGAGCCCCGCATCGGGCTCTGTGCTGACAGCTCAGAGCCTGGAGCCTGCTTCCGATTCTGTGTCCCCCTCTCTCTCTGCCCCACCCCTGCTTGTGCTCTGTCTCTCTCTGTGTTTCAAAAATGAATAAACATAAAAAATTTTTTTTTAAAAAAAAGGTAGCTCAACCCTGGGATCCACCAGCGGGGTAAAGAAGAGGAATCCTAGAAAAGTGTATTACATTGGCAGGAGGTCCAGACCTCCACCAGACCTGCCCAGCTGGAATTTCAAACGTGGACCAACTTAGTCAACACCGTGGTTAGCAAATGGATGTTTCCTCCCTGCTGCTGCAGCAGGAGAGAATTTTCTCGTCCAAAGTGAGCACTTAAAACCGTGTAACTGAGCTCTCTAACTACCACACATATACCCCTCCTACTTCCTCCTATATTCTTGTCTCTGGGATAGCTCCATTATAATGGTTAATTTTATGTGTCAGCTTAAATAATCACAGGATGCCCACCCAGGTTAAATGTTATTTCTGGGAGTGTCTGTGAGGATATTTCCAGATAAGATTAGTATTTGAATGTACGGACTCAAGAAAGTCAACTGCCCTCCCAGTGTCGATTGGTATTATGGTCTGAATGTTTGTGTCCCCCCACCAAAATTCCTATGTTGAGATCCTAATCCTCAAGCTGATGGTATTAGAAGGTGAGACTCTTGGGAGGTGATTAGTACCCTTATAGAAGAGGACCCACAGAACTCCCTTGCCCCTTTGCTCCATATGAAGACAAAGCAAGAAGTCAATAGTATGAAACCAAGGAGAGAGCCCTCACCGGAAGTAGACCATTGCTGGCACCCTGATTTCAGACTTCTGGCCTCCAGAACTGTGAGAGATAAATGTCCTCTGTTATAGGCCACCAGATCTGTGGTGCATCATTACAGTCCAAACAGACCAAACAGTGGGCACCATCCAATCTCTTGAGGGCCTAAATAGAACAAAAGGCAGAAGAAGGAAGAATTTGTGCCCTTTCCCTCCTGCCTTGATGATTGAGATGGGACATCTCATTTCATTTTCTCCAGCCCTAGAGCTTGGATTTATACTACTGGCTCCCCTGGTTCTCAGGGCTTCAGACTCCAACTAAATTACACCACCAGCTTTCTTGGATCTCCAGCTTGCAGATGGAGATCATGGGGCCTCTCGGCCTCTAAAATCTATGAGTCAATTCCTCATAATAAATCTTCCATCGATTCTGTTTCCCTGGAAAACCCTGACTTGTACCCTCCTCAAGTCCCCACATCGGACAGTAAGACACGCACCTCTCCCTCACCTCCCACATCTGAATCAGCCAAGTCCTTAGAGACGCAAAGCATCATCACATCACTTCTTACCTCAATTACTGAAATCTTCTGTAACTACCCTCTCCCTGCTTCCAGTCTGTTCCTTCACCCATCCTTTTCCCAATAGGGTACCACGGAGCTGCCACAAAAATGATATAAAGCTGCTCGTGCTTACAATCAAGCCTTCCTGATGCCTCAGGCATAAAGATGAAATGCCTCTGTGTGTCATATAAGACACTTTCTGATCTACTTCTCTCTCTCTCTCTCTTCCCCCAAAATGGAATAGTTTAACCAGTTAAAACAAAAGGAGATTTCCTGAAAGGATATGGGGGCTGAGGCTTGGGAAGAGGCAGGAACCATGGATACTAAGGAGGAAATAGAAAGGACGGCAGGAGTGTTCCAATGGGAACAATCCACTAGGCATGCCAGTATTGCAGTGAATTACCTCCAAGTCTTCATTCCAGCCTTGGGTCAAAAGTGAAGTTCAAGGAGAGAGAATCTGAATGGCGTAGCTCAGCTTGCTGTCATTGTACTATTGAGATCACGTAAGGAAGGGTGTTTAATTCAAGTCTCTAGGAGAAAGGGACCTGTGTATTCCCTCCTGTCAATAGTACAACAGTGGGCAATGGGTAAGGAGAGAGTTTAAGTCCCCAGAATAAATCAGTGTGGGGTGCAGCTGCTGGTCATCCGAAAAGTAACAATTGTGTATGTCACGACGCTGTTTTTCTTGAAACACTTCATCCCACCCTACCCACCCACCATTACCACCCTCATCCTGCCTGATGCATTCTTGCTTCTTCTGGGAAGCTTAGCTCTGCATTACCTCATCTAGGATGTCTTCTTTGAACCCCACAGTCTATGTGAGGGGCCCCTCTTCTGCATATCTTCATTATAGCTCTCATCATACCAAGCTGAAATTATTTCTTTGTCCTCTTCCACGATTATGAGTTAAATGGCCCCTTGTGAACTGCCAAGGAATCCTTAACCACCAAGGGTAACACTGAAAAAAATGCAGATGTGTTTCAAACAACTGATTTAAAGATAGTGACCTGCCAAAAATGATTTTTTGGACTGCCTTACGAAACCATTTTTAATGAAAGAAATGGAGGTTTCTCTGGGAAGCCCTAAGAAATCCCTGAATAATTCATGCATCTCTACACTGCTGCAGTGATTTGCATACTGCACACCTAAGGGGATTCTAGAACCAAATCCAGTCTCACCTTTGGTTCCTCGCTGATGTAATTCACTAGCATATCATGATTTTTCTCTCCAGGCTAAAGCAAATAAGCTCATTGAACGCTTGGTTGGGATGCCTAATCTGTGGGAATTTTCTGTTTGTTTTAATATCCGTGAAGAATCTTAGTTTAATGTGTGGAAAGAGAGAAACATATTAATATATTTCTATAACCATCTTGTGTGCTTTTGAGAATGATTCATTCATTTTTAACCCATGTTCCCTACTAAATTAGTCTGGCTGTCCTCCAGATCCATTTCGTTAGAGGATATTACAAATGTATTACAAAAGGGTTTGCTAAGTGAATCATTGATGGGCTTAATAAAGTCATTTAAAGGAAAACTCAACTACATCAACTGGGCTTTGTCAGGCACTGAGCCATATTCGGAGAGGAATGCATGTTATATGGGAAACAAAGGACATTACAGATAACCTATTTTAAAACAGCAAATTTAGGGGCACCCGCGTGACTCAGTCAGTTAAGCATCCAACTTTGGTTCAGGTCATGATCTCACGGTTTGTGGGTTCGAGCCCTGCATCGGCTCTGTGCTGACCGCTCAGAACCTGGAGGCTGCTTCAGAGTCTGTGTCTCCCTCTCTCTCTCTCTGCCTCTGCCCCACTCATGCGCGCACTCTCTCTCTCTCTCTCTCTCTCTCTCTCTCTCTCTCTCTCAAAAATAAACATTTAAAAAAAATTTTTTAAGTAAATTTAAAAGATAGTTGGGGGGGTGCACCTAGGTGGCTCAATCATTTAAGCATCCATCTCTTGATTTCGACTCAAGTCAGGATCTCCGTTTGTGAGATCGAGCCCCACATCGGGCTCTGTGCTGACAGCATGGAGCCTGTTTGGGATTCTGTCTGTCTTCCAGTCTCTCTCTGCCCTTTCCCTGTTCTCTCTCTCTCTCTCTCTCTCTTTCAAAATAAATAAATAAAAATTAAAAAAAAAAAAAGATAGTTGCGGGGGGAGTAAAGCATGCACACATGCGTACATAAAGAAGAAATCAGTATTTGTGCACTAGCAATTGAACAGAAATCTAACACAACAAGTTCCTAAAGCTGTGAGCTTGGTAGACCCTCAAGGTAAGCCAAGATATGCTAGATCTCCTCCACAGTACTACGGATAAAGTGGGCACCTGGGTGGCTCAGTCCTTTAACATGTGACTTCCGCTCAGGTCATGATTTCACAGTTTGTGAGTTCAAGTCCCACATCCGGCGAGCCCTACTTTTGGTAAAACACAAACCGTGCATTGGGTGAGCGCTGCTTCTCTCTCTCTCTCTCTCTCTCTCTCTCTCTCTCTGCCCCTCACTCACGCCCTCTCTTCCTCTCTCTCAAGCAAACAAACAAACAAAAAATACTGGGGATAAAGTACTGTCTTGCATGGATGAAGCCCGATTCCAAGTTTATTGCTTGAATTTGAATGCAGTGGGAGTGCCTGCCCGAAAAAAATAAGCAGTTGAGGTGAGGGCTTAGATGAATGTGAATCTAGAAAAGCAGGAATAAACAAGCAAGACCTTGTGGCCAGGACATGGGCCAAACTGCCAGTGACTGAATCCGAAATGTCCCAGCATCATCATAAGAAAGGAGTCCATAGCCACCAACACAAAACCAGGTTGTGGACAAGGACCCTGAGTCCTAACTGGAAGCAACTGCAAAACTGTGAGACAGGAAAGAGTAAACAGGCAGAAGAGAAAGGGATAGAAAAAGAAAGTAAGAGAAAGTCTGTGTGATACCCCTCCAGATGTATGTCTCGAACATTCAAATGCTAACACACTTAAAAAAAACCAGCCCTAAGAAAGGCAGCCAATAAAATCAATATTGGGAGACTTTCATGCCACATTATGTGAGAGTAATAGCAGAATCTGAAAGTTCATTTATTTATTTTTTATTTACTTAGAGTATGTGCAAGGGAATGGGGGATGGGCAGAGAGAGAGAGAGAGAGAGAATCCCAAGGAGACTCCCACACTGTCAGGACAGAGCCTGATGCGGGGCTTGAACTCACAAGCTGTGAGATCATGACCTAAGCTGAAATCCAGAGCCAGATGCTTAACTGACCAAGCCACCCAGGTGCCCCTGAAAGTTCATTTAAAATAAGGGTTTGTAGAATCTTCAAAGAGAAAAAGAAAGAATATCCATTGAAATGGTCAGTAAACTGTGGAACGAAACAGGTGTGTATGGAAAAGATCAGATTGGAAATCCTGGTAATGAAACGCATAGTACTTTAATTAAAAGTGCCATAGGCAGGATTAATTCCATCTTGGAAATAGTAATAGAGACAACTGGTGAACTGGAAAATGATATCGAGGAATTTACCCAGAATGCAACATAAAGAATTAAACAGGGGGCTGAACTGCAGCTAAGAGACAGAGAACACATACTGAGAGGTTCTAATATATGTCTAACGGGGGATTTCAAGAATAGAATAGAGGAAAATATCTGTGAATCAGTAGCCCAAGAGACACCGGCTGAGAACTTTTCATAACAAAGGAAATGACATGTGTTCTCAGAAGAAAATAATATATGAAACCTTTTACGTCTGTAAAAGGGAGCACCAGATGTCAAACAATACATAATAGTGAATTTAACCAAGAAACATTTGATAGTGACGTTGGTAAACATTGAAGATAAGAGAAAATCTTAAAAGCTCCCGGAGAGGGAACACCTGGCTGGCTCAGTCGGAGGAATGTGCAGCTCTTGGTCTCGGGGTTGTGAGTTTGAGCCCCAAGTTGGGTGTAGAGGTTCCTCAAAAAAAAAAAAAAAAAAAAAAAAAACCTCTTAAAAAAAAAAATTCCTACCGGCAAGAAAAGACAGATGAGCTGCAAAGAAATGACAGGTAAACTAATTCTCATGCACAACGGATGCCACAAGACAGCAATCTTTTCACAGCCTTGACAAAAAACAACTTTTAACCAAGAATTCTATATCTATATTATTTGCAACAGAGTCAAATAAATCTTTTTCAGACAAAAAGATTAAGTGGGTTACCACTCACATGCTAAGCCCCCCAAAATGGATAAAATATTTGGACAAATATAATTAGCCACTGACTTTAAATAACTAATTTGTGTTCTAAAAAATAAATAAATAAATCTAGGGGTGCCTGGGTGACTCAGGGGGTTAAGTGTCCAGCTCTAGATTTTGGCTCAGGTCATGATCCCAGGGTCATGGGATCAAAACACCAAATCAGGCTCCTCTTAAGATTCTCTCTCTCTCTCTCTCTCTCTCTCTCTCTCTCTCTCTCCCCACCCCTGTGCACCTCCTCCACTTGTGCTTGGGCTCTCTCTCACTCACTCCCCAAAGTAAAATAAATAAAAGTCTAAAAATCTAGGCAGAGATACTCTGAAAGAGGGGGCTGATATTCGGTGGGTAGGAAACGCTAAATTCCTTGAATCTTTCAGGAAGAAGGTACAGATATTGGGTAACTCAAGATTTTGTAAGAAATTTTGCAGTAAACACATAAAATACATATAACAAATATATATTATAGATCATAAATATAAGTCATAGATTTGAATATAATCACAGAAAGTAAAATCTAAAATATAAGAGTCAAAGTCTTCTATTGAATGGACTCGAACCCTCTGTGGGGCAGAACTTAAGGTGTGGAGAAACGGTTCACCAACGACTGCCCAGGGCCTGAGGAAACAAAATTTTGCCACATTTCTTGTTTGCTACTGAAAAGGAATTTAAGCAGTGAAAGAATCACATGCTGTGAAATTGAAGTCAGATAAAAATTAAAATTTTTGCTTCTTCAATAACTAAAGGATTTAAGAGAAAAACTTGGTCCTCAGTTCGAAGTTGCTATTAATTATGACTCCATTCACTTAAACACTTTTTTGTCTACATTAATCATTGATTGTAAGGTGCCGCCTAATTTCAGAAACATTACGCATTTTATTTTTTTTTTCAGCTGAGTTATATTTGACATACAACATTGTGTAAGCTCAAAGCGTACAACACATTGATTTGATACATTCATACTGAAGTAGGATCACCATCGTAGCATGAGCTAAAACCTCTGTTGTGTCACATAAGTATCTTCTAGTGGTGGGAACAATGGAGACATAGTGTCTTAGTAAGTTTAATGTTTAAACTACAGGATTATGGCCTAA